TATCTATCTGATTCCGAAAAGTTTTGACCTTACGGGATATTGAAGTAAGAAGACATGAATTGTGGTAAATGTTGTTTAATGTTCGTTACTCTATTTAATGCTTTACAAAAGATATTCAAGAATTCCTTCATTCTTCGACATAGTTTCTAGTACGAATTAATAAATTGTTTCGGATTTGATGACAAATATTTGGAGTTTCGTGGATGATATCGGCAGTGTTAAATATGAGTTGCATTGTTCTAAATCTCATTCTTGTAGACTAGATTTTTCATTCGTTTCCAAAGAAAAAAATCCAATGATGTGAGGTTGAGACTTCTTGTTGGCTATTTAATAGGAGTATCCTGGCCTCTTCCAATCTAATGAGAATAGTGATCATGAGAAACATTCGCACAGGAAGTCATCCTTAACGTGTATTTGTTTACATTTTGGGAATGTCCTAAAAGTTTTATTAGAAAAGTCTATCACAAAAAGATCTAGGAATATTCAAAATAACAGAAAAACAAACATTAAACAACATTTACTACGATTCATGTTTTCTTACTTCAATATCCAGTAACTCTAAAATCATTTAAAATCGGACGTAACATATTTATTAGACATTTTCGAATTGTTTTTATGTGCTAAAACCGCTGTAGCAGTTTTTGCATTATACAGAAATATCCTATTAGAGCTGTCAAATGAAATACGGATGAAAATTTCATTAAAATCAACTAACATATTAATAATCGCTATGGTTGGCAAGACACTCGTTCTATTATTATTAAAAAATCAAACGACAGAATATCCTGTTTATAAAACTCTTTAGGTGAGATTGTATTTACTCGCAAGCAATCTCCTGCACTGTTGCGTCCGATAGAAATTTCCTGCCTTTCAGATTCTTCTTTAAATCTTCAAAGATATAGAAATTGCGTGGCGACAAGTCTAGGCTGTAGAGGGTGCTCCAATATTTCTCACTAGAATTGTGTTGCTATATAATTTCTACATCTTTAGAGACCCCAATCTGTTATTTTCAACAGTTTTAACAACATTCGATATCGTTATATTGTCATTGCATAGATATTATACATAGTAAAAAAGCTGTGCAACGATATCGAATAATGTTACCGAATTATCGTTAAGAGTTACAGAATCAGAGTACTGAAGAAAAATTTGAAAGGTAATTCCATCAAGAAATTTCCATCAGAACACATCAATACATAGTTTGCAAGGATGGGTTCAATCTCAAAGAATTTGATTAACAGAGCAACCATCATCTAGTTTCACAATAAAAAGTACTTTGCCAACTATGGTTAACATATTAGTTGATTTCAATGTTCGATTTTTTCATTCACTATGTTTCATATGACTATCCTAGTATATAACTTCGCAGTGATATAATTATAAAATCCAAAAAATTGTAACAGTAATCAACTACTAGTTAGGCTGCGCTCTGCAGCATAGTGGAAGACATTATTTTATTGTCACGTTCAATGCACGCTTGAATCTCTTATTTTACTTAAAGGTTTTCGAATGCAAGAGGGATTAATCTTTTATGTTATATGTAGAAATGCGATTCGCAATCCTGGTCAACATGTGAAATGTACAACGGAATTTTAAATGCTCTTTAACCAGCCATTTTTTTCTTCTGGAAAAAATTATAATATTACAATTAGTAGCTTTAGAAAACAGTTACGTTTTCGTCTTTTGATTTTCACGTTTCTATTCTAAACATCACTCGCTATCATAATTGAGAAAATTGAAATCATTAATTCATAATGATTTAAATGAATTTAATGTAAAGAACTAAATATGCCATTACGAATACAAATATAAATCTTGCGTCAGATTCCTATCAATATTATTGTTCTGAAAGACATTATTGTTCTGGAAAACTTGTTTTAAGATTATTAAAGTGTGTTTTTACACAATGGAAGATGACGCTCTTGCATTTTAATTATATTATCGGATAAAAATTATTTTAAAGAAATATTACTGCAAACAACGCAATTTTAAATAATAAATATTAAAATGATACGTAATAAAAAATCGAATTACACAAACGCAAATTCTCATACGCAAATTAATCACTTTTAAGCACAGGAAATATATACTTGATTCTCGATTCACAAATATATTTCAAATTTAGAGACATTTCGTTATAAGGAATTTTATAAAATTGCATTCATATATTTAAAAATTTTACAGTAATATGTTTCAGGCCTGTCAGATAGTAACTTGCGAGCCTGCTGTGCCGCCAAGTGGTTTCCCCTTCGTCGATCTGCCAGGCGATTTCAGGGACTGTCAGTCGTCATCGGAATGTCGGAGGCTCTACTCCCCATAGGAAACTTCGATTTTTTTTCTTCTTTGTTACACTACGTCGTATTATTGGAAACTTTGAGTTTTTCTTCTTTGCTACATAACGTAATGTTAGTTATAGTTTACTATGGAAAATAGAGCCTACATCGTGGCTCTACTTTCGACGGCTGACAATTGTCCCTGAAATCGGCCGGCAGATCGAGGAGGATGTGCTCGGCGGCGCGGCTCACTGTCTGACAGGCCTAATATATTTTCTTAACTTGATATTAGCATTTTGTAAAAAATCAGTTTATTGATTATTGATTTGAAAGTTATTCAGAAAAATTTCTAATTTTTTTCAAAACACAAAATTCTCCTATCAATTATCGTCTTTATTTTAGATTTTCTGTGATCTCTTGCTTGCATCAGCAATTATTGCACATGTACCGAGCAACGTTAAAATCGAGAAACAAATATTTCTGCGATCTGAAAGCGTTTCCGTAATATCATTTTGTTATAGATAAGAACAACGAAACGACCTAGTTGATGCGAGATCGCTCAGAAGGGCAGGCCAATCTCGAAGGCATTGATCAGTGCGGAGCCGGAATCGTAAACGCCAATAACGCCGAAGAGAACACCAAGGAAAATGACGAAGCAATCGTAAGCGACGGCGCTCCACTCCATTGAGTTTCTCTTCAACTTCAAATGGAAATAGCAGGGCCAGATAAACGAAAGCATGGTCCCGGTAAAAGAACCGATGAAACCCATCAATATGCTGAAGTGCGGTATGAAGATTGCCATTAAAATGGTGAACACGATAACGCCGATCTTCCAAGCCAGACCCCAGACTTTGAGTTCCCGATCCACTGTCCAGATGGTTGGGAAGATTGTTTTCGGTCGACCGCGAAAGAAGGCGCGCTCGAGGAGCTCGCAAGCCGCGTAATATGGCAACGGATACGACAGCACCGCTTTGACGACTAGACACAAGTTCACCAGGCCCTTGAAGCCAGCTGAGTGCAAGTTATTTGTGATCACCTGCTGTGTATCGTTCTGGAACGTTAAGAAGCAGATCCAGCCGAAGAGCGACTTGAACGCTGCCGCAGCAATGTGGCTCCAATTTAGCATCCAGTCAAACTTAGAGCGATCGATGAGATTGCCTTCGAGGGTCGGCAAAAAGATCTGCGATGTATAGCTGAAGACGATCACACCAAGTGAGATCGGGAAATTTTCCATGTCAATCGTCCACTTCACCTTCGACCAGCCCCAGTCACCAATCTCCAAGATACAGTAACCGATGATGATCGCGTTGATGAAGAGATGAGACATTGTGCACCAGAAACTCAACACGGAAACATGCTGCAAGGACTTGAGGAAGCCAAGTGGCAGCAGGAATATGCCGATTAGCATCATCCAGCTGCGGGTGTCGATGGCGCCCTCGGGGAAAGTACCAATCATCAGATCACCGCATACGACCACGTACAGAATGCAGGTCATCAACAGCTCAATTATCTGCGCAATATTGACGGCACGGGCGCCCCACGTCGGCCCGAAACACTCCTTGGCGATGGCTACATACGAATCTCGTACACGTACACGTTGACCTGTCACTGTGTCTAGCTCGTAGAGGCACTCGACTAGGATCTTGCCGGTGTAGCAGCAGATGTGTGCGATGCCGATCATTGCGGCGATCGCCCAATAACCACCACGTAAGACGGCAAACGGCAAAGAAACGATGAACATTCCCTGAGAAATTTGCAGGAAAACTTACAGAAAAATACAATTATAATCATATATAATAATTTTCTTTTACGATAATTTTTATAATTAAATTCGTGGTAAAAAATTTTCTTATGTTATTTTATAATATATTTAAGATTTTGTTATATTTTAAATTTATGAAAAGATTTCTTTAAAAAAAACATATTATTTTTTCAGATTTCATAAATTCTTTTCAGAAATTGTAGAATAATAAAATCTTAAAATATTTCAGAATTCATGTATATATAAATAACGATAAATCTTTCGCACAGGAACAAAATAGACTGAGAAGAAAAATCCTCTGCCATTTTATAATTTTCAATAGTAAACAAGATATTAATTACTAAAAATTGTCGAAAATTAGTCTTCAATAATTTTTTACTCAAATATTAAACATTATAAAAAACAGCAAGAAACGAAAATTGTTTATCTTTTTTTTATAGAGCTCTAAGAATTTTTCCAGAATTTTTTATCAACTTTTTAGTACTGCATTTCCTTATTTTTATCAACATGAAAAAATACACATTTTATTTTTATCAATATTATTGTTCTGAAAGACATTAAAAAATTCTAAAAAAATTCTCAAAATTTTATGAGAAAAAAATAAACAATTTTTATCTCTTACAGTTTTTCTGTAAAATTGATAGTATTTGAGTAAAAAATTATTGAAGATTTTCCACAATTTTTAACAATTAATATTTTATTAACTATTGCGAAAATGTTAGAGGACTTTTCTTTTCAGTTTAGTCCATTCTATCTCCGTGCAAAAGATTTATCGTTACTTATCAAATACCCTGTATGTATACACACCCTGATAAAAAAATTTCACTGAAATTGTTTCACGTTTTGAAACATTTCAGCGAAATTATTGAAAATTTGTTGAAATTTCATTGAATTTTTCAGCAAATATACTGAAAAATCGTGAAACTGAATTAAAATTTCTCCGAAATTTTGTTGAAATTTTGTTAAAAATTTTCCAACTAAAAATCGTTGAAATTAAACTGAAATTTTTCTGAAATGCTGAAACTTCGCCGAAAAATGATCCAAAACGTGGAATAATTTTAACAAAATTTTTCCAACAAGGTATATATATATATATATACAAGGCGTGTCAAAAGTCTGGATACAGTCAAATATCTTGAAAGCAAAGCATTTTTGAGAAAAATATTTCCAATAAAAGTTGTAGGGTTTAAAAAGATTTAGATCTAAAGATTCTGATCATGTCTCCTTGAGATGACGTTGCCAAGGTTAAAGTCACGTCGATTTTTTTAAATGGAATCCCCTATTTTTCATTACATATTCTTGTAGCTTACCTCGAGAGCTTTTCAAAATGTTATAATAAAATTTTTTTTTTTAATGCTTTTTGTGTTATGAGGATTGAAAGTTATAGTACCGCCATCATTAACATTACCCAAGGTGTCTGACCAATAGCTAAAAACCTCTTGAATGTTGTTCAGAATCATGATTTAGATAACAAAATCAAGAGCATTGGAGGTTGTTCCTCTTATTTTCATTTTTCCAGTAAAATTCACTTTTACATAAAAATGAAAGAAGAACAATTTTTAATAGCTTTGATCTTAATGTTATTAAGATCATGATCAATATTCAAAAGGTTTTTCGCATCTTGAGTAATGTCAATGCCAATGGTATATTGTAACTTTGGAGCTTCATAACTCGAAAAATACTTAATGAAAAACTATTTTATTAATATTTTGAAAAGCTTTCGAAGTAAGCTAGAAGAATATGTAATAAAAAATAGCGGATTTTATTTTTAAAAATTGACCTGACTTTGACGCCACTCAAGATCAAGGGAACATGATCTTTATCTGAAACATTTTTCAAAAATGCTTTATTTTCGAGATATTCGACCGTTTCTAGACTTTGACACATCCTATATATTTTTATATATATATATATATTTT